TAAGTATCAAGGGGTTAAATATTCTTGGATTATTTCACCTGCTATTTTGCCTTTTGTCTTAAACCCTAACTATGCCCAAATACAGGTAGGGAATGAATATGAAGGATGATGCCAAAGTCTAATAAATGCTTGAAGATAAACAGTAGATTCTAAATAATTTTCACTTTCTCCAAAGGACATCTACAAAGTCTTAATTTGCATTTACTTTTATGTAGAGAATTTTGAAGTGCAGTAACATATACATACAGTTTAAAAAAATATATACTCTATGTAATTATATATTTAAATTGTATATTTCATAAGTACCTGCATTTCAGATAAAATGAGGAAAGTATTCTATCCTTTCACATATAGACCAATTTCCCATTTAGTCTCACATCATCCATAATGTCAATGACTGCTCATAGAATAGAGTAGCTGAATCCTAATGCAATCTGCATGGATGACAGCAGAGGGCACTGTCAAACAAAATGACCATTTTTCGTTGTGCACTAGAATCTGTTAAATTAGGAATTAGTAATTTTCAAAGAACCTAGGATCTTGGTAAATTGTCTCATACACTGAAACTATTTATAAATCTCTGTGAGTATAAAGTGACATGGTTGAACTAACAAACTAAAACTTGAGTGATAAATTTTAAACTTTACATGTGTTAGCTGAATCTTTTTCATACTATTTCTATTAAACCTTGAAACTATTTCTATGAAGCTAAAATAGAAAAAATAAAATATTTGTTATGGAATATTTATTTTATAAAACCATAAAAGAAAGCAATAAAGGAATTACCATATTTGAGGTTAACCCTAGTGGAAATGAGAGGATTGTGACTAAAGGGTAGGTGGAGGACTACAAAAGTGTTGGCAACGCTCCAGTTCTTAACCTAAATCATGGTTACATAAGGTTCTCACTTTGTAACACGTCATGAAACTCAACTTTTATGTTTTATATACACAAAACTAAAATATTAGAAGGCCTTATCAGACTAAATTAGTAGACAGAAGAACCATCAATAATATATCAAACATAATGACAAAATATTACATACGTAGAAATACCTATTTAAAAACAGGGTTTCTAAATCAAGGGTCCATGGAAAACATTTTATGTGAAGTTTCCTAAGATAGAATTCCTAGCTTTCATTTCCCTAGCTTTTCATTTTATTCTCAGAAAACTAGAAAATCAATGTAGAAACATCATCCAGGTATTTATTTAGGTCTAGCTATTTTAGAAACAAATGAGTTCCAAAACTATTCAAACAAAATAAAACAAAACATATGTAATACTAGAAGAGTTTCTTTAGGTGAGTCATCATCATGAATTAGTCACAAATCAAAATATGCTTAAACCCAAATATTCCTTCTAGAAAAATACAAATAAATAAAAGGACATTTGACTCTCATTATATTTATTGATTTAAATGATAAATGTTTAAAGCAAAAATATGGTGATTGTGGAGTTAAATGAAAGCAAATGTATATCACCAATACATAAAGGACAGAAAAAGAGAACTACAATTATATTGTAATGTTCTTATATCTTATGCAATTAATATAATATCATGTGAAGCTGAACTGTGACAAGTTTAAAATCCCAAAGTTCACACTGTTAAGAAATCATAAACAAATCTTCATATATGGCACGTAGTCAATAGTAGAGGGAAAATAGAATGATAAAAATAATCTAGAATGTGGCAGGAAAAGAGTAAGAAGATAGAAACAGATGGGACAAATAAAAAATAAGTTTTGATATAGTAGATTTAAACCCAATCATATCAATAACACTGTCTACAAATATAGAGTAAATACTCCATAATGTTACTCTACTGAACAATCCAAAGACTGTCATCACTCTGAAGAAAAAAAAAAATAAAGGAAGACACCTAATGTATGTTGTCTCTCAGACTCTAGTTTAAACAATACAGATCAATTAAAATGAAAGAACAGGCAAATGTTAATCGCAAGAAAGCTGGGGTAACAATATCTATATCAGGTAAAATATATTCTTGATTAGATCATGGACCAGTAAAAGGATATTAGAATACCAGGTGTGGTAATGCATGCCTGTAATCCCAGCTACTTAGGGAACTGAGTCAGAGGATCACAAGTTCAAGGCCAACCTCAGCAACTTAGTGAGACTCTGTCTCAAAATAAAAAATTAAAAGGACTGGAGATGTAACTCAGTGGTAAAGAGCCCCTGATTCAATCCCCAATGGAGTGAAAGGTATATAGGAATTATATGTATGATTTTTGCAAGTTTTTCACAAGACTAATTATTTTAAACAGAGAACCTAGAAACATTTTAAAAAATAAAATTCTCTGCTCTTCAAAATTTGCTACTAATAAAAAAGCAAACCATAGGCTAGGAGCAAATATTCACAATATTTATATATTAAAAATATATTGCAAATTTCTTGACATATCATATGTCAAGAAATTTGTAATGTTTTGAACAACCCACAATAAAAAATTAAAAAAAAAAAAAAAAAAAAAAAAAAAAAAAAAAGAAAGAACATATAGGATAACATCTTCATAATTTTTGAGTAGGCCAAGACTTATTTAAAAGGATAAAAAAATTGCTAGTTGGAAAAAGAAACATACAATGATAAATTATATTTAAGAACTTTGTTTTTTAAAAAAACACCAGGAAGAGGATAAAAATGTAAAGCATAGAATGGGAAAAGATTTTTGATGCCTACATCCAACAAAGAACTTATGTACAGAACATACAAAGAATTCTCACAAATCAATTAGAAAAGGATAATCCCCCCTCCACCTCCCCCATGGGCAAAAGTCTTGAATAGACACCTCACAAAGAGAACATTCAAGTGACTAAATAAATAAGTAAAATAAGGCCAACCATATAAAAAGTTACTACTATCTTCACTTATCATCACAAAAATGCAAATGAAAGCTAGAGTACCACTATGTACTCACTACAATGGCTTAAAAAAAGACATAAATTTCAAATGGAGAGAGTGAGAATGTGGAACAAAATGAATTCTCACTGCAGGCAGAAGTGCGAATCGGTACAATTGTTTTGGTAAACTGTTCATCAGTATCAAATAAAGCTCAAATGTATGCACACCTCAAAAAAAAAAAAAAAAATATATTGCAAAGTAAGCCAATCCCAAAAAACCAAAGGTCCAATGTTCTCTCTGGTAGGTAGATGCTGATCCATAATGCGGGGTGGGGGGCGCCAGTGGAAATAATGGAGGAACTTTGATTGGGCAAAGGGGAGGATGGGAAGGGGAGAGGGCATGGGGAAAGGAAAGATGGTGGAATAAAATGGACATCATTACCCCTAGGTATATGTATAAATGCATATATGGTGCGACTCTACATTGTGTACAACCAGAGAACGAAAAACTGTTCTCCTTTGTGTACAATGAATTGAAATGCATTCTGCTGTCATATATAACTAATTAGAACAAATTAAAAAAATATTTTATCTGACATATAATTTTATCAAGTATATATAAATAACTGCTATTATTCAACTTATAAAAGGGGGCAAAGATTTTGAAGACCAAAAAAGAAGATATATCAACTGATCAACTGACTAATAAACAGAAAGCAAGACGCTCAACACCATCAAGTTGTTGGGGAAATTCAAATTAAAATTACAAAGAGGTGTCACAGCTGCTCTCATCCATCATGGGAAAGGGCATATGCAAACATATGGGGATAATAAAAATGTTCTACATCTCAATTGTGAAGATAGTTACATAGATGTACACATTCATCCAAATTTAACTTACATAATTAAAATCAATAAATTTTTAAATTTATACCACAATAAAGTTACTTTTAAAAATTGTTAAAATGTTATATAACAATATACTGAAATATCTATGGTACTACATGCCAGAGAAGAATTGTTTTTTCCTTAGTGTCTGAAAGCAAGTCAAAATTTGACTACAGATCTCCATTTATTGTGCACTTCTGTTAGCTAGGACAAGTGTACAATGAATAGAAAAACCCAAATGAAAGGACAATGAATTTAAAAGTATTGGCAGTTTTGTAAAAGAGATTAGTATAAGATAGTTTTAAGATTCTAAGAAATAACATTTGTGTACACTAGTATGTACTTTAGGTTAAAATTATGATAAAATCTATATAATCATAATCTCATTTATACTTATCTATTTAAGGGAGATATTCCATTTTACAGATAAAGAAACAGACCTAAAAAGGTGAAATAGTAACTTACTCAAAGTCAGATAAAAGTCTCAAACTGAGAATGACCTAAATCTACTGAACTCAGATGCTCAGGCTCTTTATTATTGTACCATTTTATTTCACCATTTTATCCAATCACCCTTTTATATTCTACCCTTTACTCTTTACATAAAGAGGCATAAGTGTGTGAGTCTGTAGAGATTATTGTACTAATGTTTCCTTACAGCTGTGCTTAAAGGTCTTGGGAATGGTGTTGAGAAAGCAGTTTCAAACAAATGTAAAGCATTAGATTTTATAAAAGGTCATTCCTAAGTAGTATAGCTATTCAATACTGAGAATAATTCTAGAGATTGAAGAGCTATCAATCCCAACGAACTTTCTCTAACTTTATTCCCTAATCTTCCCCAAAGCCTTACAGTGCTGCTATGAATCACACAGATTAAAGACATATAATGGATCTCAGAAAACCTCTTTTTTTGCTAAGAGGATAGTTAGAACAGGTTTTTCCTCTATTTTCTTTTCCAGCTGTTTACTTTTCATGTGTAATGCTTTTGGATTTTAAGTTTTACATTTCTCTGACTTATCTTCCTAGAGGTTTTGCTAATATGAATTTGATTTAGTCAAAATCATTGTGTTTTAATTTTTTCAAGGCATAAAATAGTAATTAAACTAAAATAAAACTATCTACTATAATGACTGACAAAAAAGATAATATTCACTAATTTATTATCTTGTTTAAGAATATACTAAATATAGAAATGAAGGCAGAAAATAAATATGCTAATTATGTTTAAACAAGAAATAATGCAATGCTTATCCTACCTGAAATCACATGCTGTAGTAAATTCTGCTCCTCCACCCAATGCCCGACCTTGAATTAGTGCAACACTAATTAAAGGAAGTCTGTGTATTGAAAAACAAATGGATGTTAATATTTCTATTTTTTAATATTTTTAAAAATCTTAAAATATAGTTGAAACAAAATTATTGCATTGTGTTTATAGCAAACACATCAAAGGACAGTAGAACCTTGAATCTATGCACCTTGAGAAAAAAACAACATAACACTAAAAATACAAAAATTCATGCTAAATAGGATGTAAGTTTATCAAAATAGCTCCCTTATAATATACTTTTGAAAGGACAGCATATTATACCTTTATTCCAAATATGGATGCTTTTGTATAATTTAAAGCCCCTGGGACTTCTCAAAAGCTGGCAACTGTGAATAATTTAACGTAATATCATCTTAGTCCATTTTTACTAAAATTACTTAAGGGTAGGAAAATTAAGGCTGCAGCCATGGTGGAAACTGTGATCTAGAAGATAGGGGTCCAAAACTGTATACTGAAGGTTCCTCAAAAATCTTCTCATTAGTGCTTGAAATGATCCACAGATTAATCCTATGTGGAGACATTATTTTGTGTTATAAAATAAATCTTTTACCTTTTCTGTTTGTAAGAATGTGTGACTACTACATGGTAAGTCTAAAATGTTTTAAAAGTATGGAATTTTTTTATAGGTTCTAAACAAAAAGTGAAGCTGCAGATGTAAAATAACTGAGTGCTCCTTGATACATACTGCTCCCAAGTAGAAAAGATTGTCTAAAAAAGAATAACTTTTCACATGAATTTGAGAAAAAGTCAGGCATAATAGGGGAAAGAGATGAATTCAGGAGTTAAGATAATGAAAAAAAGTATTTTAGAATAGTAATATTATAATTCAATCACTCTATCAGATATAATGAGTAACAAAAATAGTGATGAATACCAATAAATAAGTATGCTTAAATATAAAATTCCTTAGTTTTTATAATTTTTAAATTGCCTATAATCAGAATGTGAAAGTAGAAAGTTAATTAGCCCAAATATGTCAGTTTGTATGTCCAAATGCATAAAAGAATTGTCTCCCCTTTTCTTCTTCATCTAGATGCAAAGTAAATCCATCTCTCAGAAAGCTGTAGTCTTCTCCAATCTTTAATTCTTTTTCTCTCCTCTGGATTCACTCCACTCCATATTCTACTAACTTAAATATGTGATAATCTTTATCTGTTTTTAATAGATCACTGTCTATATTTTGCTCTAATATCAGTATTTGACTCCCCCCATGTCTATTCCTTAATATACCTAGTGATATAAGCTCCTTAGGGAAAGGGGCTAGGTCTAAATTCTTTTCTTCAGTACTCATGTACATTTCATTAGCAACTAAATGACTGTTCTCCACACATCACTAGAATATACACAATTTGAAAATTAGTAATTATTTTTTAACTGGTATAAATAATGGAATAGTAAAGAGAGATTTTTGATCTTTTAGAAATTATAAATTTAAAAGAAAGATACATTACCTCATAAATCTTGTTAAGGTGTTTTGCATGAACATGGATAAGGCCACTCCATCCTTTAAATAAAAATAAGCATAAAACAAAGGTATAACACACATGTATTACCTAAGAAATATTTTTAAAATTCAGCTTTTAGTATAAACAATGAAGACAAAAATATATCTAACTTAAAAAAAATGAAATTTCTATTTAAAACCCTTTGATGCTGTCTGAAATTCAAATAATGCAGTATTTTACTCTTGATGTCCTAAAGGTTCTTGAGCTCAGCTTTGCATGAGATTATGACGAACAAGAAGCAGGTATGAGAGTCAGATCACATACCTAGAACAGCGAAGCATTCCACTCTGGGTAATCTGGGGGAAGAAGCATAAGATACACCCACCTATTAACCCTATGAATATAAACACATAAAAGGAGGAAGGGAAGAAGCAAAAAGTTGTAATATGTTTTCATGTTCTGTACGCCTAAGGCTTTTATACTGGTATCTCCACAAATTGCAAATGTCTTAAAAGTAGTCCAAATGTATTATATATTCTTTTTCACCTCACATACTTTGGTCAACACAGTATGATCTGGCCTTCAACCTGCTCCCAAATAACTTCCCTCAAACTTTCTAATAGTCTCTTCATCAAATTAAATGACTTCTCTTTCTCTGTTGTCTTCTCTTTCTCCATAACAGGTAGTACATTTTTCTGACCAGTTTCTTTATCCTGATCCTCACAGTTTAATGGCAAAATTTTATACTCCCAATTCTCTTCCTATTTCTTTGATTATTCGTTTCTAGGTTTCATTCCTAACTCTTTTTATTCAGCTAATACCCTAAATGCACATGTTCTCAAAAATCTAATCCACGATTCTTTCTTGTTTTTTATTTATACTTTCTTCCTTGGAAGATTCATCCACTTCCAAAGACTTCAACTACTGTTTTTAAGCTAAATGTTAAAACCTAGTAGATACTTTCGCATTCTGCCAACATCTCAAACTTAGCATGGCAAAACCAAATGGGAATTAAAGAGCTGAGTGTGAATCCTAGTGCTACCCCTTAATAACAACATGAACTTAAGAGAATCATAACTATGAACTTCATTTTCCTCTTCCATAAGGAATGAGGAAGAAAAAAAATCTTGTTTTATTTGATTCAAATGGTGATTGGAAAGGTAGAAATGTACCTACACACTCTGTAGAAGATTACATAAAGAGTAGAGTCTCTACACCATGAAGCTTATAGATGGAGTCTGATTACTTCCTCTCTCTAAAGAAAACTCCTTACAGTTCATGCAACATCTGTGGTGATCAATTCCAAATCTTATAATTGGATTAAAATCTGCATTATTTGTTGCCATTTTATTCTTTTCTCCCTCCCATAACTTTTCAGGGCTAATCCTTTCATCATGTTATTCCATTACTTGGTCTGTAAGATAGTAAGAATTTTAATTGCCTAACAGGGACAGTTGGAACTTTTCTCCTGTTCATTAAACAAAGGCTACCAAAATGAAACCAACTTTTTAAGGGATCAGTTACACTTGAAAGGAGAAAAAAAGTATAGTAAAGATATACAAATACAATAAATGTTAATAGCTATTAATGATGCTATAGGTACATGAGGATTTCATTCTATTAGTCTCTTGTTTTTATTTGATAATTTTCATTAGTAAACATTTTTAAGATTGAAAAATTACAGTGACAAAAATACTAAATGATTACCCTTTTCAAAAAAATTCACTTAATAATCACTTTAAAGCATTTTATTATAATTACAAGGGAATGTACTACAATTTACTAAAATTATCAAATATTCCAATCACCCCATCATTCTCAGAAAAGGCAAATTCACCAAATAAGCAGATGCTAATGATGCATCTATAACAACAAAGAGTCAGTATGTTGGATAAAGTGCCCCATTGAGAGAAAACAGTTTGCATTTAAGTCATGTTAAAAAGTCTTCAAATAACTCAACTGTAAGAGTACAATGTATTTAACAGATAGCTGCAACTCATATACATGCATGAGCTTCGTAAGCCCCAAAGCTATTTTTAATTTCAGTTTTACATGTATTTATAGCTATTTCTCAAGTACATAAGAATATAGTCTACATGTAAAATGGTTGTCAGAAACTTTACATATATCATTTCTAGTTCTTGTTAATTGTAGAATAAATGTGATAAAATACCCTCTATACATATATACTATGTTTCTTAATATTATTTTTATGATATATATTTCTTATACTATGACTAGGGAAACTTCATAGAAATACAATAAAGAATTCATTTATACTGAAAAATGCTTTAAACAAAATAGGTCAATTCTAATCTGGAATTTAAGCATACTCATTATAAAGCAGATTTGCAATTCCTTATTTTCTTGAAGAAACTTGGAAGATGCATATAGCAAGAAGCAATGGACACCTCTAGTTCTCAGCTATCAATCAACAAATTTATTGCAGACACTGATGATAGCATATTACTTGGAAAATGTCTATACTACAAAGAGCAAACTTACCTAAGTCTGGACAAAAATTCTCTCAATAAATGTTGTTACAACATGACTCACATCATACCAATAATTTATACACCCCTCCTACCCCTCCTAACACACACAACACGCACATACTTCCACTCTGTCTTTTACACATATGGGAAAAAAGTCCTGGCTACATGATCTAAAGAGACAGAAACAACTTTCTGACTACAAGAAAATAAGAAAGTAGAATTAGAATTCATCTTTTTAGAGATGTTTTCCTACATAACTTATATCAGGCCCACAATAATCTATTATTTCATTCTATCTTGATAGTATCTTTTGTGAACTAAGGTGAATAGTAATACAACCATTCTAGAGATGACAATGATGTGTGTTTATACATATATGTAAAAGCTTTATATATATATAAAATATATATTTTATATATATATATAAAATCAGATGAATTATTTTCATATATTGCGGGTCACCCAGTTAATTACTGATAAAGCTTGGGAAACAATCCATCCCTTCAAATTTCCAGGTTAAAGTTCTCACCATTCCAACACATTACAAATTTAAGTCTAGAAGTGGTGCTGTAATTCCACATCATCTCAAGGATAATAAGGTTTATTACTATCTCAAACTCTTTGAAATAAAAATAAAAGCCAACTTTTTCAAACACAGGGCTAGTAGCCACTTTATTATATATTATCCTGAATCTTTACAATAGCTCTATAAAATATGTATTATAATCCTCATTTAAAGATTAGGAAAATAAGGGCTGGGGTTGTGGCTCAGTGGTAGAACTCTTGCCTAGTATACGTGAGACACTGGGTTCAAACTTCAGCACCACATAAAAATAAATAAATAAAATAAAGGTATTGTGTCCATCTACAACTAAAAATTAAAAATTATATTAGGAAAACAGACTTAGAAAGATTAAGTGTTTTGCCCAATTGCTTGGCCAGAAAGTGTTAAAACCAGCATTCAAATCTAATTCCATCAAAATCAATGCTCTGGTTTATCAGAAGAGATTTTCTCTTACATATTTATGCAAATAGGAATAATATACTACATACACTGGTATGAGACTTGTGAAATATCATTAAAACTTAAATACCTACACATAACCCACTATTATTAAATGGATAACAAATACTACTTACTTTTTTCCCTACTTTCATTTCCCCCTTCCTTTCACTTCATTTTCTTTCCCTTCCCTTCCCTTTCTTTTCTTTTTCTTTTTGACCTATGGAATGTGGGCTGAATTCAAGAAAAACCAGTTCCTTTGAGGACTGATAATGGAAAAGGATTAGGATTCCTACTCTAACAGGTAATTCACAAGCATACTTTTAAAATCATTAATACTGGTTGAAATTTACTATGTGTCAGTTTGCTAGGTGCCTATGTATACCTTGTCAAACTCCTCATCAGAGATGCTAGGGAGCTTACAATTAAAAAACTCAAAAGTCTTGATGATTTTAATTATAACCTTTGGTCATTACTAATCTTCCTGGCCTTCCTTTTTTTCAGTCCTTCATATTATCGTACCTTAACCTTTAAGAAGCAAAACAAATGGCTACAAAAGGAGTAGTTATTTCACCTGACTTCTAGAAAGAAGGTGATGATCTTGAATTTAACCTATCATCTTAGTGTTACCAATTTATATCACTAATTTAAAATCTTATGATAGTCTTCCAGATTACAAAGCAGTATTTTAGTAGACATCCCAAGCCTCCAAAAATCTGTGAGGTAGATTTTACTACTTCCATGGAGCTGAGGAATAAAAGGCCAACCTTCTTAATTTTCTCAGTTATGGGCCAGATCTATACCTAAACCCAAGATTCTAAATTCAGAGCTTTCTTCTTCTGCCATGTGAAAGGTTCAATTAACCCAGGAATATGCCATATCAATGGCCTTGAAAAAGAGATTCCCAATACTCAGATCTTAGTTTCTAAGAAAGCTATTTAAGAGTACAAGTCATTCTAATAACCACATAAGTAAAATATAAATATCTTAAACGTCTGGTCGACATGTACAACCTAAAGCATAATTCACATAACACTTGCCTGCGGAGTTCCTAGAGCTTTCACAGCATTCAGATCAGATCCTGAAGAGAAAGTATTTTTTGCCCCACGAACAATGAGGCCTTTCCCTTCTGTCCAATTTTCCAATTCAATCACTTTCTCCAAAAGTTGTAGCATCATAACACCTGCCAGAGAGGGAAGAGGAAAAATCACAACACATGTAAGAGATTACAAAAACAGAAATAATTCAGAAATAAAAGTGTATCAAGCAAGCCCAGATGGCATTCGAGAAGTTAGACCAACAGAGGCGGTGTTGGACCACTGGGGCACCAGCCTTTTGCTAGCCCCAACAACCATGGGGCAGTGTTTCACAATGAGGTAGAGATCAAGGACTTACAATATGATAACTCCGAAATGTATTTCTACACCTGCCTGTGTGGGGATAACTTTTCCATCACCAAGGAAGATTTGGAGAATGGGGAAGATGTGGCAATATGTCCTAGCTGTTCTCTCATAAGAAAGTGATTCATGACAAAGATCAATTTATGTGTGGAGAAACAGCCCCAGCACCTTCAACTAACAAAAAATTACTTAAATGCTTTAGGAATCCACATCCTGAACAGTTGAGAATGAGCCCAGATGGAAATATCAAATGCAGAGTAACTGATTTTTTCATGGGGACAGCTGTTTCGTGGTTTGTCATTCTGTTAGCCCATGGGTCCTTTCACCAACTGCTGAGTTCATCTTCAAATACAAAAGTGAGCCCAAGACATGTCATACCTGGATTTCATGTTTAGAACATTGAATTGGAAACATTTTTAATTATCCACCTGAATTTAAAGGAAGATAATTTTAAATCAGTGCTTTCTTTCCCTTAGTTATCATTTTTATACCTTAAACCTAATTCAGTATCTGATATAACAGCATCATCTACCTCAGTCATTAGGATTTATTAAAAAGAGATTATATTTTTAACTAGTTACTAAGATGGTTAAAATTAGCTTTCTTTGAAATTTGACCATCAGCTTTATTATATTAACTTAAATAAAAATCCACTACTTCCTCAGTACTGCCCTTCTGGTTCCATCACCAAGACAGTCTCCAATATTAGAATGTTCAGGTGCTGTTCAGCATGTCATTTGTGTTACACTTCATGGACAGAGTTCTATTGCGGTATTAAAGAGAAAAGATTGACTATATTTTCTCCATTGCTACAGGTAAGTGAATAAGGAAGAAAAGTCTAAAGTGAAATGGTCAAAGAAGTAGAGATTCCTTATGTTCTTTAAAAATCATGACTAGATTTAAAAAAAAAACCTGAAGGAAGCAAACAAGCCAACTTAGTAAATGAATGCTTTATTTTACCAGATCAAAGCAAATATTTTTGTGTCTAGATTTTTGGTTATTTTCTGATATAACCAATGAAATTGCATTTCAGAGAGGGGTTAATGCCAAGACTATATGGCTGGTGCCAGTGCTTTTAGCCTATCACAGTATTGTGTCCCTACTCCTAAAAAGCAAAGTATCTATAATAGAGAATGAACTTGAAAATGGAAGGCCTGTTCTGAATAAATATATCCATGTGGACACATCTAATAAGCCTCTATAGCATGCAACCAAACCAAACATGCACTCCTACCAGAGAAATGTTGCCAGGGAGAAAGAGAAATATATGAAGATAGACTATTAGTCTTCCTTTGCTAGAGTGCTGAGAGTAGAAAGAAATTATAATCAAAAGAAAATTGGAAAATTTCCATTACAAACACAACTTTGCTGTGTGTATGAAAATGTACTGATATCTGACAAGTTATTTTGGGTATGGCTCCTGCAATTAGAAAGCCTGCTAGAGTATGTACTGATTGATAAATAAACTACACTCCTTTGAAGTTTAAATTAAAACAAGTGGACTTTTTCTTTTTTAAACCTGGCAGCAGCATGGCTATATGCAACTATTAGGCTGAAACATAATAAATTAAAAATTATATGCTAGCTGTACTTGGTACATTATATGGCATATTCATGACATGATGAAATCTCACTGCTGTTAGGAACACTGTCAGCCCAGAAATAATCCACACTACTTTGAAAAGCAAAGTGACTGCTCAGATGAACAGAGTAGGGTACAGGTTGACTCCGGTGGGCAGGAACCTGCAAAGAGAAATGAACTATCTTCAAGCTCACTGTAGATGGTGTTAACATAAACACTCTCTCTGCTGTTGATGAAAAGTTGCCCAAGTTCAAACATCCCAGGAGAAAAGAAATACAACAAGAAATACAAGTCAGTGACTGTTGATAATATTGCAATAATAGGAATGTTGGTTTTTTGTTTTCTTTTGTGGTGCTGGGGATTGAACCCACAGGGACTTGTGCATGCAAGGCAAACACTCTACCAACTGAGCTATATCCCCAGACCTAATGATTTTGTTTTAAATCAACTGAGTTGCTTAAGTTTTAGAACTACAATATTACATACCAGGAATGAATCCTATAGTAAGCAGAAAGTAAAATCAAGGTTTTCAGGTATGACTCGAGTTCTGAGTGATGCTTGTGCCTTATTTATTCCCACAGACATTTGTGGAACACCTCTGTGATTTACGCCAATCTAACCAATTTAACCCAATCTCTGTCTGATTAGCTCTGGAGTCTGAGGCCAGGCCAGTGGATCCCTCACTGTACAGGTATAGGAAATAGGGTCAGTTTCCAGCTACCAGTTCCCATTCAGTTGTGGGACATTGCCAGAACAGATAGGGCAAGTGAAACCGTTATAAACTCAACACTGTCTGAATCATGAATTACAGGGAATAGAATTTCCAGTTTTCATCAACAATGTTACCACACTTCTGGGTTTGAAAATTAAGTCAGCTATTTAAAGGATTTTGCATATCCTTCAAAGATTAAGAAACATTTTTCTTAGATAGCACCAAACATTTTTTATAACTGTACATATTAATTTATTACCAGTATAAACTGTATTGTCATGCTAAATAAAATCTTGATAATTAAAAAAAATGTCAAGCAAGACTTTTAGTTCATGAATTTTACAAATATTTACTGAATGTCTATCAAATGCCTATTTGTACTAGTACAACAGAGTACATAGAGGATCTATGAGTCTCTGCTTTAAAGATACAAATTTTTTAGTTTATCTATCTCTACCTCAAGAATTCATACAAATAGCTAGGAGTGATGGAGCATACCTGTAATCCCTGTGGCTGGGGAGACTGAGGCAGGAGGATTGTGAGTTCAAAGCTAGCCTCAGCAACTTACCAAGGCCCTAAGTAACTCAGCAAGACCTTGTCTCAAAATAAAATATAAAAAGGGCTGGGTATGTGGCTCAGTGATTAAGGGGCCCTGGGCTCAATCCCTGGTACCAAAAGAATTCATACAAATATATATTTAAGTAGGAAAGTTAAATTTATCATACACGTCCCAGGAGTAGGAACAGGAACATACAATTTGAGATGAGGAAAACTTACTTCTTAGGGTAAACATAAAAATATAGAGATAACTTCACAGCAAATGCATAAGTGTCCCAACTGACAATCTTAACAAACGTTATAACATACAACTATGAGATCTTGTGACAATCCAAACATATGGTATACTGGAATAAGTGAAATTCCTACTCTGTTCATACAAGTAGGAGTATAACAGGATGCCAGTTGAGGAAAGTTCAGGAAGTAAATATCTTATTCCATGACTGATGAACTGTGCTTTTACAAACCCAAGGTAAACCACAGATACTCTTCACATGCCTTCCAACCATGAAATCTATGAATTATTGATTAGATATTTCAAAATTCTATTTGAGCATCCTTATAATAAATTTAAAACAGAAAAAGAAACTTTAAAGATTTAATCAGGGACTTTTAAATGTGCTTATCTTTGGTAATGTTCCAAGTTTATAAAGTCTGTAATGTTTTCAACATAATTAATTTTATTTTCCTTTGCCTAGAAAACTTCAAAGTAGAAGCAATGTAAAGATCACAACAAAGGGTTAAAATGCCAAAGAATCTGTACAAGTTTCCAGAAAATTTTTATAGCTCATATTAAACTACATACATTTAATTTTGTAATATAAAATCCCTACTGTCAGAGCTATTATTTTCTTTGCCATTTTTTGAAGTAACCAGTAGCAAGGTGGTTCTACAACAAATGTTAAATCAATGTTTGGACTTAGAAAATTGAGTAATGTAGCTATCCTCTCTAATCACTAATTATGGCACATTTAGAACTGTAACCCTTCCCAAGAAAGTCCTAGGTGCCTAGAAGTAGAGCTCTTGTTCTCAAATGATTTCCAGTTTAGCAGGGGAAATAAAAGACCTACATGTTTAAGGTAAGAATAAATCTATATAGGCAAATATGGATCTCAAATTATCTAAGATATTTAAGTATCTACAAATAATTATGTTGGCCTTGAATCTAACAATATCTATACAATAGTTAATCTTAAATTCATTTTTTTGACTTTGTGAAATAAAGTATCTGGATGAATGATTCTCACTCATCCTTTCCCCACTAAACCTAATTAAACATCATTACTCAAATCAAAGCAGCTCTGTTTTTACTAAATTGATACATTATGCATTAAATTAGTGTTTCCTATAGAACAAAAGATTATTTGTAACTATTCAGTAGCAAATTAGAACCATTAATATAATTTAATCCTCTAGAGCATTCTTGACTTTCTAATTTTATTTTTCCTGGGCTAATATCAAATTTGGATTTTATTCCTTAAAGCTAACTGAAAGTATGGAACTACAGCATCTAATAAAGTAATGATGAAGCACATGTAGCTACTGAGAACTTGAAATGAGGCTAAACTGAGAAGTACAGTGAGTTTAAGACCACCTTTTGAAGACTTAGTAAGAAAATTTCTCATTCATGTATCAGTTACTTGTTGAAATAATATTTTAGATATGCTGAGTTAAATTTAAGGTATTATTTTTAAAATCAATTTTATCTGTCTCTCTTTTGACTTTTTTTTAATGATGACTACTAGACTATTTAAAATTACACATGCAGATCACATTTGGGTTTTGTATTATATTTTATTGGTCAGCACTGACCTAGAAAAATATCTCTGGCCAGGTGTGGTGGTGCAGATCTGTAATCCCAACTGAGGCTGGAGGATTTCGAGTTCGAAGTCAGCCTCAACAACTTAGTGAGGCCCTAAATAACTCAGTGAGACCTTGTCTCTAAATAAAATACAAAAAAGGGCTGGGGATGTGGTTTAGTGGTTAAGCACTCCTGGATTCAATCCCCAGTAGCAAAAAAAAAAAAAAAAAAGAAAGAAAAGAAAAATACCTCTTAATTCTGATAAGCAGAGAGAAAAGTTGTGAGTTATAAGTACTCACTACTGGTATTTACAAAGTTTACAACTTACTCAATTATATCTGCAGTTATAATGATAATTATATACAGACACATAAAATTACTGAGATATTTTTGAGTCCAATATTCAAGTGCTACTAAAGAATAGAATTTATTCTGCCTCATGCAGTGCATAACTGACAAGTAGATCACAAAATCACCTTGAAACATAATGTGTGGTCAAGAAGGCTATTTAATACCTCTTACATAACATGGTGGTAGCGTGATTCAAATTTAAGCTTTAGTAAAAATTACCACGTTCTGTTCTCCATGTCTCTTAAATATAAAATTATTATATGCTCAGAATTTTGACTAATAGGTAAAAGTTATTCCTCAGAATCTAAGAGTTAGGCAAAAGTCAACAGATAGGCCAGTGCAGTGTTTCAATTGGAGAAATGAGTTCTAATACTCACTAGTTTGGTAAATGCTACAGAACAATAATTTATTATATGTGTTAATAATCATTATATGCAATATATAAAAAACTATTTTATTATATATAGTTTAATATATATAAATAATACATTTATAACAAATAACATTATGTATTTATAAGAAATAACATTTTGTATCTCAAAATAATTTTAAGAGGAGTTTGAAGGTCTCAACACAAGAAAATGCTAATTACTCTAATTTTAACATTATATATTAAATATATGTATCAAATTATCACACTGCACTACATATATATGACAATTAAAAATTTAAAAAGAAATTTTTTAAAAGGAGTGCCTTTTTTCCTAAAATGAACACTTTGTAGGCAACAGAGGGAAATTAACAATAACAGTCTTATCTCAATTCATTAAAAAAAATGTAAGCAAAATATTTTTTTTCATTTATGGGTTTTTCTATTCAGTTTCAGTAAATCTTTGAAACTTTTTCTTCCTTGTTTCTCAGTGGTATTAGCTGAAAACAAAGTTTTTGTATAGTTAATAAATTATGGAAAAAATAAGACTGATTTAACAGTGTCCTTTTTATCAATATCTGTGTTCACAATTCTTTTTAAAACATTAAGATACCATTTTAACATTAGTAAAAATGTTCCTGGTTCATGTAACAGTTTCATTTGGTTGCATGCATTCTACAAAGAGCAAAGATTTTGAAGATTCAGTCGCCAAAGACAAAATATGTGATAGCATGTAAGACTGAGTGTCTCATTCTTTATTTTAGAAAAGATGATACCTGAGAAAGCATTCATTTTACTGGGATTGTTCAGAGTAAGAATGCCAATGCCATTATCTTCCTTCTGAAGGTCAATGGATCCACCAGGAAACTGCTGCAATGTCTTTTTTACTTCTTCTTCATAGAAGCCATGAGAAGTATTATAAAGTGATACTCCCACTTGATGTAGTAGTTTTGTCCTTGCAGACAGAGATGTTGCATTCAAAAGATTTTTTGCCATTTCTGAAAAAACAGAGGTAAGTATACAGCTGTCCAGATTAACAGACTCAATTTTCTACTATTATGTGTTAATCAGCCACAGGCTGATTCACAAAACATATCATTTCAGTGTATCAAGGAGAATGACATAATTACAGTGCATTTACTGGGACCTAATAAAACTAAAAAGGCTTAGAAAAAATGTTGCTTTTCTCTATTTAATTAAATGTCCTGTCTCCAGGTAGTCTTTCTCATCACAGTAGTTTTTCATTTTCCAACCCTTAACTTTTTCAAAATCTAATTCAGTCCAAATATCACTGGCCTCTGGTCAGCTGGCCACCACTCTTCCAATCAGCTATTCTGTTTTCCCCTTGGAAACAGAATGCTATGAGAGCAATTGCACCCTAATAGAAATTTTATTCTTAGCATTATCCTTCCCTTTGCCATGCTTTCATACAAAAAGCTGGAAAGGATCATAAGGAAAATGGGGAAGGACAGGAATGTGTATGTGGATTTTGTGTTCTCCATGGTTCTATTCTCTTTTCTTCTTATTTTATACATATATCCTCAATAATCTCATCTTTTCCCCTAGGATTTTTTTTTGCCCTATGTAAATCAACTTTTTTTTACCTAACGAAAATCAAAACATTTTTGTTAATATAAAACATATATTCAGAAAAGTATACAAAACATAAGACACAGCTCAATAATTTTTCACTAGTTGAAAATATCCTAGTTAAAACAGCACTCAAATCAAGAAATAGAACATAACTTGAACCTCAAGAGGTCCTTTGTGCCACCTTGCACTCAGAATGCCTCAAATAAGGATGACAAACTAACCCAAGGTTAGTTTGCATACTTTTTAACTTTACATGAATTGAAAAGCATATATTCTTTTGTGTCTGGTTTCAACTTTCTACTTCTGAATCCATTGCTAATATTATGTACAATTAGAAACTAAATAGTCAATCATCATCATTCCTACATTCTATTACATGAATGTATCACAACTTACCTATTCTATGTTAACTGTCTTTTGAGGTGTTTCCAGTTTTTAGCATTACAAAGAGTTGCTATACACAACTTTGGTATGTATCTATTGGCCACTATATATACATTTCTGATGGATAAATATCTAAGAATAGAACTATTGGGTTGGTATGCTACAGCTCATCTTATCCTGATTGTTAAATATTGAAGAATTTTCAAAGTTAACTTTTTAGACCATTGGTAGTTCCAACTATTAACAAGCACTAGCATGCATGCGCACATGTGCACGAGCTCACTTTTCTCTCTCTCTCTCTCTCATACACACACACACAGCCAACTGACTGGTATACCATCAATCATAATGCATGTACTGTTTTCATTTGTTCAACTTTAGAAAATACTGTCTGCATTTTCTGAAATGATTGTACCAATGTATATTCCCATAAGTAGTGAATGTTAAATTTCCTCCACAATCTTGTTAGCACTTGCTATTGTCTTTCTCTCCCCACCCCCGCCCTTCCATTTTAAAAAGCAAATATCAATTTATCAAATAATCTGTAAAACCTGAAATACTCCTTCAAATCACTCCACAGCTACCTATAATCAAGTCTTCTGAGCATTCTAAACATATTTTATACACAGGCTATCTTATTATGCATTAATTATTAAATACTTATAAAATTTTAAAAATCTATGGTTATGAATTTCAGATTATATTACATTTAGTCATAAATAAGATAACCTAAATGTAAAGAATGAAGAAAAACAAGTGTTTGAGTCACCTAACAGGTGCTTAAAGTTAGGTTTCAGAGTGTGGATGTGTCCTATTTCCTAACCTAAATAATGGATACAATGGTAATTACTTTGTCATTGTTCTTTACATTCTTCTTATATATTTTACATTCTTCTTATATATTTTACATTCTGTGTATGCTACATATACTTCTCAGTAAACTTTTTAACAAACCCTAAAGAATATACAGATAATGTTTCCCAAACTTTTAAATTGTCAATTTCGAAGACAGTTTCTTAAGTACTCTATTTCATTTCATAATAGAAAACTCGTAAGGAACACAAATGTTACATTGGAGCCACTGATAATACAGTGTGAAGTCTTTGTCAGGTCTGGCAAGTAAGCAAAAGTCCTTATTAAAGGACTTTGTGTGTCTCTTACAAATGGACAATCAAAAAAACAGAGTTTTAGAACTGACACAAATGATAGCTCTGTGTGTGTGGGGGGGGGAGGGGGGAATGTGTGTGTTTTACTGGGGATTTAACCCAGCGGTGCTTTACCACTGAACTACATCCCAGGTCTCCTTTTTTATTTTTTTAATTTGGAGACAGGGTCGCCAATAAATTCCCAAGGCTGGTCTTGAACTCACAATCCTCCTGCTTCAGCCTCCCAAGTAGCTGGGATTACAGGTTTGCACCACTGTCCATGGCAATGGTAATATTTTGAAGGTGAGTTCCTGACTCCATTAAATTAAATTTTTAAAGAGAGACTATGCCTTATTCATAACTCTTAGCATATAATTTTAAATTCAATATTTGTGGAACTAAAAGACACATAATGCAATTCCAAAAGAATTACAAAATAGAAAAAATAATTTATTGTTGGGTTTCTAATAAATGCAAGTTCAAAGTGTGTAGGGCATTATATTTGACCAAATTCTCTTCTTCACTGGCCTCTGGTCAGCTGGCCACCACTCTTCCAATCAGCTAAGAATCTCTGTTTCCTTTCAGAAAAGGAGGGCAAGAGCTCCTTGTCTGGTTTTAATCAAGTTTATAAAAAGTTTGTACACAATATGATCTCTATTGAATCATCAATCAAAACATGGCCACTTTAAAGAAATTAGCTTATTAAGAGATAATCTAAAGGTACTCTGCATATCTATAATGCCCATTTTATATACTTTATAAGGAAGGGTCTATTAGTATATTCTTCCTACTTTAACTATTTGCCTAGATATCTCACAAAGCTGTTGGATAGTAAGCAAAAGTCCTTATTAAAGGACTTTGTGTGTCTCTTACAAATGGACAATCAAAAAAAAAACAGAGTTTTACATCCTGATACATCCTTTGTAATTTTCTTAGAATGACAGGCAGTATACCTAGTAGATACTAAGGTAAATACCTAATAATTATTGTTAGCACACTTAAATGAGAAACCAGTATCCTTATTCTTACTCCCCCTTTCAGAGACACATAATAGTTTTGAGCATTCTATAAGAGTCAACAAAGGAATCTGCTTCCACTGATACTCCTGTTTTGGATTCACTGTGATCTGTTCTCCCATTATGTCTTTACTAGTTGGTCTCTACATGTCACCTCCAGAACAACCCCTGCAGAACCCTCAGACCCTTGTGGAAAAGGAACCTGGGGTTGCTTTCAGTCTAGGGAATGTCCCTTCCTAAGAAAGCAACATAGGGTAGGGCTCAGGGTTCCTTAGGGCTCCTTCCAGGTCTAGAGAAAATATGTTCTCAAGATCAGTAAATAGCTCAGCTCACACAGAACCCAAGTGTATATACTCAGAGCCAAACATATTTCCAGGAATTTGCTTTTGTATGGACTGTGTGTGCTCTCTGTATGTTTTATCCCCAGGGACAATCAAATATAGAGGCAACTCAATTAATAAAATTAATTCGGGGCAGAAGTCCTGATCCTCTCCACACTAATCATGACTTCATATAAAAATGCTAGAGAAACTTGATATGGATTATACAACATTAAAGAAATAAATTTGCCTGTGTTTTTTATAATGCTCTATATAGGGAAAAGACTAAAGAGTCAAAACTAAAAAATACAAAGGAGTAAAGGCTTATAAAATCATTAGCATTTTAAATTATTATTGTACGATAACAGAATCAGCAAGCAATATGTTTTCTGCTCTCATTTGTAAGGGGTTTGTCTGCTACATTGTCCCTCCCTCCAGCAGCCAAGAACACTAGTGCAATTAGTATGAAATATCATCAGATCTGCTGAGAGCCACTGCCGAGTCTGTATGGCCCCTGGCATTTTGCCAACAGTATTGATTGACAGGTGAGGCATTACTATCGGCCTCTGCCGCAACTTTTGAGTTCTCGCACTATTTTGGAGTTCTCGTGGGGATTTCCAGGGATTCCCTGAGAGTTCCCATTGGTTGGGGAAGTGCAGGAGGAGGGATTTCCGGGAGAGATATTTCCGGCTGGGGCTTCCTGGACAAGCCTCCAGCTTTGGGGAGGATTCCCAGGGAGCTGTGTGAAGTGTTTTCCTGCAGTTTAAAAATAAAGTTTGTTCCTGCTTCAGTGGCTCCTGATTTGTGCCCAGCCAGACTGCGGCACAGATCCTCATCCCCTTATCTTTAAATCATTAAACATTTAAATACTTATGTAATATTATGTTATATGTAAACAACAGTAATACCTTGCCTCATTAAATATCTGTGATCTTTGAAATGCTGACTTCTTACAGGAAACCTTATATTAAGCCATGTAACATTTTCTCTATTAATTCCATATTTTTCTCTTTCTCTTCTCATTCTGTTCTTGCACTACCGTCTCTTCTTTTTTTTTTTTTTTCCTCCTCTCAGATTCCCTTCCTTGTCTGTACAAGAATAGTACCAGAAAAAAACTCAATGACACTATTTAAACCTACCAAATTAGCTGACTCAAAGTTTAGGCAGCCAAGTCTAAAAATTTGCTAAGAGCCTATTTTGTATACTTCAATCCCAATTCTAAATTTAGAGTCTAAAGTACACAGCAGGTCAATGCTGAGGAGATAACAAGGTGTTAGTCACTAGTCAACTATTATAGTATCTGAAAATATAAGTAAATACAGTTTAAGATTCAAGTTCTGTGTAAGCAAGTAGTTTAATAATCTATACTTGGTTTACTCCCTAAATCACAAGGCAACAAAAAGGTACTGAGGCATTTACAATGTTATAAACTTTCTTCAGTGTAAAAAGTTTAAAATTTGTCTTGTAGGATCGCTTGCTGCCCCATCAGAAGGCCAGTTCAGTCTTACTGCCAAGCCTCTAGAAAGAGGTAAGAGAGAAGACCTTCTGACACCCCCCCACCCCTCACCCCTGGGGGGGGGATCAAAGGTTTTGCTCTCCAATTTGTTTTCAAGTTCTACAAAGGTGATCAAATAGTCCCCGGCATGCCCCACCCCCAAAGAGAATACACTAGTTGTTTTATTAAAAGTACTTACCTATTTCACCATTATGTTAGAATCATTAACAGAAAACTAACACAGATCATACTTAAGAAAACAACCTAAGGCAGGTAGTGAACAAGAAAAAAAACAGAAGTATATGAGATTAGACTGTCAATATGCTGCCTGTTTGTCAAGGTTTCAATTTGATGTTAGGATATTATCATATAAACTTACCTTTCAAGTTTCATTACAAGTCACCCAAACCCTCTCCTTCACACAACCACAATAAAAAAGTTTCAGTTCCTCAAATCCTTCAGGATTTTCATCATTCCAAACTTTGGTATCCTTGATCTCTGTGACACATTTTTCTTCCTTAGAGTAACTCCAAGTCATCTCCTCTAACACCCTAGACAACATCACCTCTACTTTCCTTATCAAAACCTTCATTCCGTGACTTCCCTACTTCCTTAATCAAATTGCTCCACTACATTTAGCTGCATGAGGGCAATTGCCATGTCTAGAAAAATGCCTGGCAAATAGTAATTACCAATAATATTCTTAAGACTGAATTTCATACATAGGGCTAAGAAACTGGCCACAACCAACAGTCCATCTGTCCAATTCACTATTCTCATAACTCACCTTGTTTCAATTCCATGCGTCTTGCAAGGCTGATTTTCTTTACTGGAATGCTGATCACTCTCTGTCTGTGCCCCAACCAATTATTATGTACCTGTCTTTCATCCAATAAGTTGTCAAGAAAAGATCAGATGTTGTATCACCATATCCCTCCCTCCCTCCCTCAGAAGATATAAATATTAATAACCCTCCAGCTTATCTCAAGAGAGCACAAGGTCTTCAAAAGGAGTCTTCTGCTATCCCTGTCCGTGTCCATTTATCTCTACAAACTGGGAGCACCTAGAACAATGGCTGGTATACACTGAACTCCTTGATGGGGAATGTGGGAGTGCTGATTTGGATATTCTCTCAATCCTCATCAGTCTTTTCAATCATAATTTACCTATGGGTTCAATCTACATTTGTGGCCCTTCTGCGTGTGTATCGCCTTTTAATCATTGCGGCACACATACAAAAATTCTAGAATAAAGGCAGTTAAGCCAGATTGAATAAAACAGAAAGAAACAAGTACGGAGATCCCAGAGACCATTACCTAATTAACACAAGGCCTTGGAAGTCTTCAGAAATCAAATAAGTGCTTTGAAATTAGGCCTTCTTGTCCTCTTGAAAATGTTAAAAGCCCCCCACCTCCCCTGGAAAGTTTTCCGGCGCCTCCAATACCTCGGAAGGTCAGTGGGCGGCGCAAGCCACTGCATTCCCACGCCCAACAGGGGCCAGTGGGCCTGCTCGGCCGCCTGGCGAGGACCCGGCAGCGGAGCCCCTCTGCTCTCCATGTGAGATTCGCTGGGCTACGCGCTAGCATCCACTCCACAGCCACCTTGTGGGATGGTCTTCCGAATGACGCTAAGGTTACCGCCAGCTCCTACGAATACAGAGCCCGAAAGGGAGGGGAAATTCTGCTTCCGCTTCCCCACGACTCCCTTCAGCTCTCTTCCACGCTACCTTTCGGAGTCTTTTCCCTGCTTCCGCGAGAGCCTCTTCCGCTCTCCGATGCCCAAACTCTGTTCCCCCGCGTTTCCTTTCGCTCACCCAGGTCCCCTTTCAGTCCGTGGCATCCTTATTCAGACCCCGGCGGAAGTTCCGCCCCCGCTCCCTCCAGAAGTCCCTGTCCCGGGAGGACGTCGCAGTTTTGCGCTCTTCCAGGTGTCGCGAGAAAGCGTAGTACGGTGGACTCCTGTTGGGCTATCTTCCAACGTTGGGTTCTGCCATCCTGGGTTTATTCTGGGACAGGGAAGCCGCTTCATCCAGCTAGTTTCCAGCGTTCTGCTGTAAACCCGGCTTCAGATGAAGAGAAGAAAACCAGTTTAAGGGAATCGCGAAAGGGGTGGGGAGAGGTACCGAAAGCCACCCTATGTAATATATCAGAGTTTTTGAGGGATAAATGGATATTTTATCGTTTTTTTTTTTAAATCAAATACAGTGTATACCCTGAATATGACATGGCTTTTATAAAGCTCGGTAAGCGTAAAATTCTGTGCCAACACCCATTTTGCTGGCACAGACAGCAAATGCTTTGGAAGACAGATGAAAGGGAAAACCATTTTGCATCTGTTTTGGAATCATTTTGTCAAAGAAGTGGGACTGAAATTAGTTATTAGGTGGTTGATGACAAAAATAGCATCTGGATATTAAAGTGATAAAAAACGTTTTGCCCAGTGACTACTAACACTAAGGGAGAGAACTAAGCTCAATTTCCCTTATGCAGAGGCAATTCAGTGTTTTAAAAAGAATTGGAGTGAATGGAAGTGTGGGTGCAAAAAAGTGAAAAATTACAGAATTGGCTAGTGTAAATGTGATTAGGCCAACAGTGTTTGTTAGCTGGTAGTTACCTTAGGCTTTTTAACCTTTGAGAGGCCCTGTCCTTCTTGATGACTGCTTTTGCAAGGTTTGGCTCTGAATTCCTTGATAAAGTACTTCTGAGTTGCAGAAGTTGCACATTTATAATGGCAAGTTCTCTCTGAAAGCTGCCCTAAGAAAAGGGTATCAAGAGCATATCATTTTGTTGGCTGAAAAACAGTTGAACTTTCTCAGGCAGGCATTTTATGGGTGGTTCCCTCATAAATATGCCAGAGATGGGGACCCTCTGAGCCGGTGACAATAAGAATGACCTCTGAACAGGCAAAGTTGTAATAGGATCATCGTGGGTTAACTTCAAGGAGAAGAGAGACAATACTAAAAGAAAGACCATGCCACTGCCAGAATAAAGGACAAGCCTTTTTATCAGATTGCTGGGATGGATTGGAATCTGGCTGATCATTATCTCAGTTCTGGCTTTCCCATTTGGCTCCACAGAAGGGCTATTTACTTAAGGAGGAGATCTGCATTTGTTTTGTATGATGTTTATTAGACCTGTGATCCTGAATGGTTGACAATTTGGTTTCTATGAGGTGATTTGGTCCTGCTTAAGTGAGGCAGTTTCATTATGGACTATTCTGTTTGCCAGGTGTTGTTCCAGAAGTTCTGAGTAACTGCAGATTTAGGAGAATGACTGGAGATTCCAAGGCACTTTTTAGGGGTGTCTGGAATAGGACATTGTAAGAGCTGGCAGTTGAATGTCCCTGCAAATCTTGAAAATACCTTAGTTATTCCTATCATGGTGTCCTCAGTCTTGAAGGGTACAGGAGAGGTAAATTTAAGTCAATAAATCTTGTATAACCAGTTTTAGATGAACGCTCCTTGATTAGTTTACATGCCAGTGTGCAGAGTTCAGCAAGAACCTGATGTAAGTTTTAAGGTAATAAAGGAGGCAAGTGTACAATAAAGACAGGTGCCAAGCTGTAACTTGCTTTTCATTGTCCATCCATCCAGCATCTGCAGCCTGAGTGAAGTTAGTGCTTCTTGGCAGCCTCTCTAGTTCCTGTTATTGTTGGGGGCTTTGGACTGTCTAGTTTTTATAAGATTTATTTATTTATTTTAATTTTTTATTTTATTTTTGAGACAGTCTCACTAATTTGCTGCGGCTAGCCTTGGACTTGTGATCCTCCTACCTCGACCTCCTGAATTTCTGGGATTACAAGCTGTTTTAGTCAGTGTTTTTCTTGCTGCACCTAATAGACCCAACCAGAACAACTGTAGAGGAGAAAAAGTTTATTTAAGAACTCATGGTTGGGCTGGGGATGTGGCTCAAGTGGTAACAGGCTCGCCTCGCATGCACGGGGCGCTGGGTTCAATCCTCAGCACCACATAAAAATAAAGATGTTATGTCCACCGAAAACTGAAAAATAAATATTAAAAAATTCTCTCTCTATCTCTCTTCTCTCTCTCTCTTTAAAAAAAAAGAAAAAAGAACTCATGGTTTCAAAGATCTCAATCCATAAACAGTGGAGTCCATTCCTTGGTGCTCAAGGTGAGGCTGAACATCATGGTAGAAAAGTGTCATGGTGGAAGAGTGTGGCAGAGGGAAGTAGCTTACATCATGGTAATCAAAAAGCAGAAAGAGAGAGACTGCACTCACCAGCTACAAATATATACCATGCCCCAATTCCCACTGCCTCCAGCCACACCCTACCACTTCAGTTACCACCCGGTTAATCCTATCAGGGAGTTAAATCTCCAATTGGGTTAAAACTCTTACAACCCAATCATCTCTCCTCTGAACCTTCTTGCATTGTCTCACACATGCATGAGCTTTTGGGGGACACCTCACATCCAAACCATAACACAAGCATATGGTACTTTTAATGGTTCATGAGTTAAGTCCCTGGAGTATGTCTGCCTTTTGTCCCTGTGGTAGTTCCTGACTATATCAATACTAGTCTTGTGGCTTTATGTTTTTAGAAGCCATACTGAAATTTGGTCAGTCCTATTAGTGCAGGGGTTTAGATGAACTTGTCATGTCCCCAGAGTTACACAGTTGTCATAGGTAAGTAAAGGAAATATTTCTAATAGGAGGAATAGAATGTGTCATGACACTAGAATAGGGATGAAAACCACATTTTAGATTATAGAGATTTATATGATAGTGTAGAGTCAGAAAACCACAAGGTTTAAAGAGGCCATTTATCTGGGGTTTGTGAAATTCAGCAATAATCTTTTTATTTCTTTCTCAAGAACTAGAATGTCCTTGTACAATTATACAAACCTCTCAGAGTGTTGCTACAACACTAGGATAAAGAGAAGCAAACTTTAACATCCAAAATTTTAATTGCCCACTCTTCATCAGAACTGGGGCATCAAAATAAAAACTGCTTGAGCTGAAGAAAAAATTATTTGTATATACCAGTTTATGGCTTGTATGTATGCATACCTGTTATTTATGCTTCTTTGTGTTTCCTTTGTGAATGTGTGCATGTGTATTTATTTTCCTGAATTGTAGCTTTCTATATGAGTAATCTCATACACTTTTTAATCTCTCTCAGTGATTTGTAAGTTATATATTCTGACTTTAATTCTACTACAATTATTAACATTTTCCAAGAATCTCTTTGCCGTAGTCTGGCTGGGCACAAAATAACCAAGCTGCCACAAAGTTTTATAGGTTCAAACAGCAACTCCTTATTCCGGAACTCTCACCGGCACTCTACACACACTTCCCAGGAACAAACTCCCTCCACCGGGCTCTGTGCGCCAATTTTCCTGCAACCCCGCGAGAACTCAACGGGAACTCCAAAGTAGAGGGCGCCCAGGCAGCAGGATCCGCCCTAATCCCAGAGCAGGGTCACCTTTCAACTATTCCCTCTAGCAAAATGCCAGTTGTCATTCCAACTAAACTGTGGCTCTCAATATCTCCCCCACTTCTGTTTAGTTAAACAACAAGCGTGTGGCTTAGGGACCGTGCCTGTCTTAGATTATCCAGTACTACATATGGTCCTTACCCGTCATCGGATGAGCTGACCTCTAGGCGTCAGCCTCCTGTCTTATCTTACCTGTCATTGGCTACCGATCCAGCATACAGCCATACTTGTGGATAGGCCTTTGCACCAGTGGCGGGGTGAGGTTCTTTGCCTCACCTCTATTGTCCCCCAAATTTGGCCTTAGTGCCAGTGGGGGGGGGTGAGGTTCTTTGCCTCACCTCTGTTGGCCCCCAAATTTTAGACATCACAAGTAGAAGGGAGGAGGATGCAAAATGCCACGGCACCAAGCCAAATGACAGCTCTTTTTGGAAAAATTGTATCACCGATGACACCATCAGCAAAGATACCCCAGCACTACCACAATTCGCTGCACCAACAGATGGTTCATAATGCATGCAAGTGATACATAGTCCAGGCAAGTTCTGCAAGCAGTTCAAAGCAGAGGAATCTATTAATATGTCCATTTCCTCCAAAGTAAATTGACTCCTTGATTGAGCATCACTTGCTGAGTTATTATTCATTGATGCATCAGTTTATACAGTTTACTGTGATAGCTATCGAAGAAGCTGTAGTTGAGTTTTATCTTTGTCTTCACCGGCACTGGGATGAAGATAGGAATTCTAGCAATGATAGCTAAAAAAAAATTATGTAACATTCCAGCAGGCACTAAAAGAAAGCAATTTTCTAAACAATTTACATTATCCTGAACAGAATTATTAAATATAATGAAAAGGAAAGGTAAAAGTAAACAAACAGATCTGTTAACCTCCTTTTTTGTTCACATATTAAAACAATCCTCAACAGCTGTTTACCCAATTTAAATTAAACCATTTAAATCACGTGAATAAAAAAAAATTTGGATCCATTTTTTCATGAGCGTTCCTCATATATGATATATGGATGTACACACATACAGACATACAACACAAAACACAAGTGTGCACACATAAACATACAACACATAGGACAGTAGTAAAGGCCTTGTAGCTTTTCACAGGTGAAATCTCCATTGCAATGTTTAAAAATGCCACAGTCAAAAAATAGAACTGATCAGAAAAACATTAACCTAGGTCTGTATGAGCTCAAAAACTAAAATAAAACTTCATGATGTGGGAAAAGGCAATAATAAAATAGATATTGAAAAAAAGCATCCTGGTTACCACCTAGGTTTGACTCTTCTGATATTCCATCCTTCTTCCTGTAACTTGCATATGAGTCTGAAGGTATTCCCACAAGTAAGCCCCAAGTTTTCTTACATTTGAAATAGGCCTTAATGGTGTTCATTATCCATTAGCCTCC